ACTTGGTTCCTTAAGTTAACCTTAAAAGGCCAAGTTTGACTTCGGTCAATATTTTTAAAAAACGACCCCGGAATCGGGATTTGACGGTTCCAATAGGTTCGTATGATGATTTTGGACTTGGGCATATATTCGAATATGGTTTTGGATAACCCGGGAGCATTTTGGCGCTTAATAGTGAAAATTAACTATTTGAAGGTTTAAAATTCTTTAAATTTGGTTTGGAGTAGGATTTTGAGTAATTGAAGTCCGTTTTGAATTTTGAGTTTGGGAATAGTTTCGTATAGTGATTTAAGACTTGCACACAAATTTTTATGTCATTCCGAGTAGTTTAAGTATATTTCGACGCATTGGAAGTAAATTGAAGAACTTGAAATTCTTAAGTTTGAATCAGTTTGGTTTAGGGTATTATTCTTAGATTTGATGTTGTTTTATGCGTTCCGAGAGTTCGAGCGAATCCGTTTTATAATTTCAAACCTGTTGGTATATTCGGGCGGGGCCCCGGGGGTCCCGAGTGTTAACCGGACCAGGCTCAGACCAATTTTGGAAAATTGAGCAAGGACTGAAGCTCCCAGCTACTATCATAATCGCACCTGCGCTTGGACAGTCGCAGGTGCGAGCCACCAATTGCAGGTGCGAAAGAGAGGAGCCTGCCCAGCCATCGCAGATGCAGAGCAATTTGGCGCACCTGCGAATGCGCAGGTACAAAGGTCTTGTGCGCAGAAACGGGGGGATGCGCAGGTGCGAAGGAATGGGCGCACCTGCACTTGCACAGAAGCGAGCTCTTCTTCCGCAGGTGCGGAACCAGAAAAAGAGGGAAAATGCGCACCTACGAAGAATTTCCGCAGGTGCGAAAGCCGCATGTGCGGTACTCCTTCCGCATGTGTGAAAAATCTGTCTGGACAGAACCTCAAAATGGACGAAAACTAAGTCCATTTCTTTCTATTTTTCATCCATTGTTGGGCAATTTCAGAGCTTTTGAGAAGGGGGTTTCAACTAGCAATTGAAAGGTAAGTTAATTCCACACCCCTTGAGTTAAATACATAGATTATAGGTAGATTATAACTAGTAAATCTTAGAAATCAAAGATTTGGATGAAAAATCTAGATTTGTATAAAAATGAGTTTTTAACCACGAAAATAGTTATAGAATTGGGTAGAAATTATATATTTAAGTTCTTGAGATTATGGGTAACATTTTCATCCGAAAATTTTCAGAATCCGAGGAAATCTCATATGCTTGATTTTCTGTTTAAATTAATTAATTGTCAAAAGAAATTATTCTTCCTCCAGAATTTATCCTATAATAAATATACTCTCCTTCCGGAGGTACATAAGAAAATGTCTTCCTTTCTTGTGGAGCGGGCCGAACGCCTCGGCATGATAGATGCTTCTATGGATCACGTCGCACGTCCCTCAGGCAGTATACACGATACTCTGGATCGGGTCGTACGTCCTCGCCAGAAATCGTGCTTAATAATAATACTTACACGATACCTTAATAGTTTATTTCAGCTTGCGAAGCTAATTGATAAATTGAAAATCTTTGAAATTTATTGAATTATTATTCCTGCTTGTTAAGGAATTATTGTTATTCCTGTAAATGAGACTAATTGATAAATTAAAAATTTATTGAAATTAAACTGCAGCTTGTAAAGCTATTTGTTAAATTGGAAGTTTTATTGAAATTTCATGATTTAATTAACAAATTAAAAAATTGTTGCATTTGAAGGATTCTTATTATTTCTGCTAATTGAATAAAATTATTTTTTAACTCTGTGAACCATGCTGATTTCAATAATTATAATTTATTCCAATTATTATTATTGACCCATAGTGAGTGTCAAAGTCGTCTATCTCGTCTCTACCACTTCGAGATTAGGTTTGATACTTACTGGGTACACGTTATTTTCGTACTCATACTGCACTTGCTGCATATTTTATTGTGCAGGTACATATATGTATAGCGGCCTTGTGGGTGCATATGTATGGTTAATAATTGTGGGGACATGGGTGAGCTGCATTCTATATTACGATCCGCAGCTAACAAAGTCTCTTTCATATTTATTATATTTTTCTGTCTAATTTGTATTCTGGACGGATATTGAATTTTATTTTTAATTCCCTAGTAAATGCTCATGCACTTGTGACACCGGATTTTGGGAATGGTTGTGAATTGTTTAGAAATTTAGCTGTAAAATATTTATCATTTACTCTATGAGTTTTATCTCTACAATTTTATTAAAGAAATTTTTATTTCAAAAATATTAAAATGGATAATTAAGTTAATTGATTATGGTTGGCTTGCCTGACAGTGCTGTCGGACGCCATTACGGTCTTTTGAATTTTGGGTCGTGACAGAGATGCGATTATAGAGAGGTCTTACTGTAGAATTTTAGCAGTTCCTAACATGCAATTTGTTTGAATCTATGTGTGGCAAACTTTTTAAAAATTAATTGAAATTTTAACTCTACCCAAACGTTTTTGGTGTGCGCATTCTTTAGCAAAATATAACATGTAATTTGTTTGAATTTTTGTGTGCAGAACTAAACTGTAAAAATTAGTTAAATTTTTCTAACAAGTTTGCAGAATAAGTATAACGGAGGTAACCAATTTTAGTATAGTTTATACGAAAAGTATTTTGGACTTATCCATATTAAATTATATTTAACTTACTTATTGTTATTAATAATTTAATATTGAAGGATCCTATATAGTTTAAATTTATGACTTTATAATTTGACATTTAACTAGTTACGACATTTATGATCGGTACTAATTAAAAAGGCATTTTTTGACCATTTGTGGTACTTTTGACAAAGGAAAAATAATATTATGCAATACAAACATTATATTTCAGATTAGTATAATATATTTATTCCAAAATCAGAATTATTCTCTTTCAATTGTTTGTGAGTAAAAATAAGATGAACTAGGATACAATAATAATATGAAAAATTAAATTTATAGACGTGCATAGTTATAAAGAATTACTAAGCCTTTTGGTGAGAATTTTTAGACATGTAGACAAACATAAATGACCATATAGCTCTAAAGAAGATAAATAACATGTTAGGATAATCATGAATTTTATATCAAACACACGAATTTAAGATTGAGTAATTTGTGAAAGGCTCAATGATTATGTAGCCCATTCTTTTTCAATTTATAGTCAAGTATTGGATAAGCCATCACTATAAGAGAATGATCGTACCACTTATCTAGGAGGATAATTATATCACTTACTTAGGAGGATAAATATAATATTATAACTATATAGATTATATAATTATATACATTATATAGTTTTAAAATTATATTTATATACTCTCTCCATTTCAAAAAAATTATCTTGGTTTGGCTTGACACAACCTTTAATAAAAAATAGAAGATTTTTGAAAAATATGGTCTTATATAAGCCATAACATTTGTATGGCTATAAAATTTTTGAAACTTGTAGTCTGAAACTTGTTATAACATTTGTATGGTTATAAATGCTTCATATTAAGAAAATATTGAAATGTGCCAATTTTTTTAAAATTGACTAATATATGTCAATCTTTTTGAAACACATGGAGTGCATTATATGGTTATATAAAAATATAGTTTTTGGGTTAATTAAAACTAATATTTCTTTCCTTCATAATAAAAGTAAAATTTATGTAACTTCAGCATATTTATGTAGTATATATATATATA